TAATCCCTGCACTTAAGATTATTTACCATAAAAAATAGTTCATCTCCTAAAATGTTACTGATAAATCTATTTGATGTTGATTCCGCAAAAGAGGTATGTGAGGAAAGCGGGAAATTGCCTAGTTTTTTGACTCCCTGAGTAACGGTCGTTAGGTATATATTATTGGTATGCACTAGAATATAATATGAAAATAAGTAAAATCCTACGTAATTTTTAACTAATACATATATTTTACGGTATGTAGATTTAATATCACAATATTGTTGGTTTCTGAATGCAATTAAGGCTCTGCACGCACAATTAAAACATTTGTACGTGCGAATTAGCAGACACGTTTGTTTGAGAAAAGACAATGGACAGATGAAATAAAAAACGAACCTGGCTTATTACTGTTTTCGTGTGGGGACTTGTTTGTGTAATATATGTTATTCTTATCCTTTAAACGAGCAATTCTTGTATATATATATATATATATATATATATATATATATATATATATATATATATATATATATATATATATATATATATATATATATAATGTAATTGTAATAATATGTAATTGGAATCTCGGAAACGGCTTCAGCGATTTTCATGAAATTTAGTATGTGCGTAGATTCGGGGGCGAAAAATCACTCTAGCTAGGTTTCATTTTTAGAAAATGTCCTTTTAAATTATGTTTCTCATTCCCTGAAAACAGGAATGAAAAATATAATTCGAATATGACGGTAAATTTCGCCGCAAGAGAAAATGTCATAATAGCTCGGTTGGTAATCGGGCGACCCCGAAACAGGCGGCCGTGGTTCGTGTCACGATCATTTACACATTTATTTTTTTACTTTTTTTTCGTTTCCATATCATTGCTTTCTTTATTTATAATTTTTTGTCAATTTGTTATTTTGTTATGTTTTTCCTTTTTTTTTTAAAGTTCTTTCTTTTGTGAAAAACATCAGTTCATATTTTCTTATTATTACGTCGGTAAGATCGAAAAATATTATGCATATTTCATTACTCAGTAATTTGTATCTAAATGTAATTTCCAAAATACACGATTTACCAAAAAAAAAAAACAAACCGAGCAAAGCTCGGTCCTCCGGGTACTTATAATTTAAATTAGGTACATAAAATCCAAGCTATTTCTCCTATTTGGATAGATACTTCCTTTATTTATTTATTAATATTTTGCCATTTACATTGCGGAGTTATTTTTAAGATAAACTGGAGTAAATAAACGTATTGTGTTGTAGTTTACTTAATCGTGTGAATTATCAAATCGACTATAATATCGTTCTCGTAAACGAGAAATTGTTACGTTCGCTAAGTTGTTGTGGTTCAAAGTAACGAAAATTTTATGTTGTAATACTATTTGTAATTCTTATGAACTAAGACCGGGATCAAGACGAATTCCTCACGAATTCAATGAAAAATAAGTCTTACACTAATCTTAAACCGACAACACACCTGCATAACGACATTTTTGTGCAAGAAGCTGTCAAATGAAATTGGTTGGCTTAATGAGTATGTACTTCCGCCCACGTACGTAGTATTTGTGCATCTTAAATAGCTGTGGGGCTGAAGTCGCAAATCTGGCGACTATAGCGAACAAAAAAAAACTGTGAAACAAATTACCTCGACAAGTAGATAGGTAGTGGTAGGACCACACAACAGTCTTCGCTGTTGCACGAATGGGCAGGTCCGTCCGGATAAGTACCACGACCTTACAGAAGACTAGCGTGAAGTGGAATTATATTTCTGCTGGCTCTTTCGTCTGGTGAGTGAGGTAGGCGGTGTGAATTTTACAAAAAGGTGGCAATGCCTTTCAACCCTACGGGTGTTGCAAATGTCCATGGCCGGCGGTTATCACTTAACATCAGGTGAACCGCCAGCTCGTTTGCCACCTTCACACAAAAAAAATCTTGCACAAGGATGTAGGATAATTGTCACACCAATCCCTTGCTCTACCTTCCTTCACTGTAGTTGAAGTTTAACGCGGATCATATATTTTCAGCTTCACCCATATTAGTTAAAGCCCACCAAACAAATGGGCTTGTATTGTAACCGTTCCGTTCTTGCAGTCTCAGCGCAGATGTGAAGTGTCACGCGTCGGCGTTGTCAAAGCAATCACCGCCAAAGTGAAAGGGAAACTGTCGGAGCGTACAATGCATCGCAGCCTTTGAGTGCCTTTTAGGGCGATGCGTTCGTACGTCTTTGATTGCGAAAGGGTTGCTCTTAGCTCTATGTAGGGAGTTTTTAATATGTTGGAATATATACGAACTATTCGCTTTTCCAAGTATGTAAAGAATTTTTCAACAGAGGGGTGTCAATTAATCAATGATATTTAAAGACAATTAAATTGTGTGTCTATGGCAATTATCGCAGTATTCATTATCTTACAGATGACCTTTATCAATTGTTAGGCACAATAAATTTGGGAATGATCCACGTACCTATTAATCCTGCCTATCATCAAGCTGTAGAAATGTTTCATAGCGGATGATTTTATGATGATTTTGATGATGATTCTTCATTATAACCATTACAAACATGATGGAGTAATCATTGCCGCTGTGCTGTTTGGATATGCTTTTAAGGGGTAGTACCAAAGCCTCACAGAAAACCGGCGTCAAGTGAAAGTACTAATGGTTGGCAAAGCATCCGTCAGGTGTTCTAGATGTCACTCAAGTATTTGTTATTTACTATACGCAAGTGTGTGCGAAGTTGATGGATGCAGGTGGCTCAGGATCGTGTTTCGTGGCAGTCTGCGGGGGAGGCCTGTGTTCAGCATTGGATTCAAACAAGCTGAAATGATGATGATATATTTTCTTTTTCCTCTCTTCATGCAAATCCTGTTATTCTGGTCGTCATATATGAATGATATTCTTTATAAGCAATTTATCAAGACCGTATTCTCATTATTAATTTTAGTAATTTAACAGAATTCGTAATGAAATCCTTGGTTACCACCGTGAAGTTTGAACAAGCTTTTCCGCTTAAGAATTAATTTCAACTGAGCGCAGGAGCTCCCGGTAGATGGGATTAATGGGATTTTCTCGGGAGTTTGCGGAAACTTACTAAACTTCAATTATTACATTGTTGGCAAAGTCTGTGTCTAGACAGTGCCCGGGTTAATTAGAGGGCACGCTAGGCAAACGCTGGTTTACGCCGTTCGATATGCAAATTGCGGGGATAATATTGCAGACGACGCAGCGTAAGTTGCCTATGTCGAATTAGAGCTGGCCTCTAATTCGATTTGAGAGACAGCTTAAGATGTAGCTTTGGTTTTAATACACCACGTACGGATAGATTTCTCTTTTATTTTTCATAACCTGGAGATTGGATTATAAATCTTAAGAATGATTTAGGCCATATCGTCCAAATTATTCATAGCGCAATTCCGCATTTTTATTCTCAAAAATGAAACTATAAATCCATACTGTGTTATATTTAATTCATGCAAGGGTCGCGTTCTAGCGCGGCCGCGTCACAAGAGACGCATTTTGACGCGCACCGTATAAACGTTAAAAAGGTAACTCTCATAAATTAAAATGTGTCATGGACGAAGCGCGCCCGCGTGGCATTCTAGTATATAAAATACATTTTAATTTCGTAAGCTTCATTCCTATGTTTCCGTCTCACTTATGAACTGATTGGTCGTATCAAATTAGACATTTAGTAGGCACTAGTAGTACTTGGCGTTTGACTGAACGATTGAGATTGATCATTTGGCGCCAACGATTCGCCCGAACAAACATTCATGTGTCCCAATTGGAGTATAGTGGCCTTTGATCCGTTTTAGTACTTCGTGCACCTATATATGAGACGCATCGTTGTTAGCTGGCATCACTGAGTTCGTTGGATTACAGCTGTTCCCTTCATGAATAGCTGTGTATCATACTTTGACGAGTATGCTTTGAATGATGTCACTTTGCCGCGTTTGCTTTATGCCTGCTTTGCGGCATGCACTCGTGGCATTCTTAAGAAAAATAAGGTATTAAAAGGTTGGGCGCGAAACTGGAAGACGCAGGTTCGAAGCCCCGCAGCGCAGAAAGTATATTGTCGTATTTATCAACAAAAATCCACAATTTAAGTTTCATCCTGTGTGTAGAGACTAGCAAGGAAAATTAGAATTTAATCTAAAAAAAAAAATTTACAAGGATTTGTGTAAATTTTGATGGGATGTCATTAGATAGAAAGTACTAGTTTTATTATAATATTTAGAGATAATAAGCTATTATTTTTTACTAAAATACTCGAGCATCGATGGGTTTGTTGCTAATAACGATTCGAATGTTAGATTTTCTATTAATAGGGATGAGATTATGCCGGCTTCGTATAATCCTAGGTTATCAGGGTGTGGATAGGGTTTCCATTCACATCTCATCCACTATACATACATACCAACCACAGTAGCTACACTGGTCAGTTGTCCTAATCCCTGGCCATACTATTTTGCCGGCGGTATTGAAATTAACAATAGTATGTGACATAAAATCATCATACATGATATGATATATAAACATTGATGCAGTTTGTTTACTTCGTATAGTTTACAATTCGCTAGAGAAAAAAAAATTAAAATGGTCGAGTCGCTTACTCTAATATAGATTCGTTAATATTGAAGACAAGAAGTGAGTTTTGGCAATACGTACAAAATATCATAATGTCTACACGAAATCAACGACTCGGTGCCGCCGTTGTTAAGCTATTGGCTTCGACGTCGGGGGTCGTGCGTTCGATTTCCGGTCGTAAAAATCATAGCCGAAACCGCTTACAACATGATTCACCTGTTGTGCCGACCCAACCTAGGTGGGCCAAGGACAGGAGGACGATGATGATGTACACTGAATCATATAACCTGACGGTCTGAGAGACCACAAGACTTTGCATGGCTGAACTAAGAGTTGAAACAAACCCTTAAATAAAATGAATCGAAAATATTATGTTGATTATCGTGGACGTCGATGATTCGTCTAATGTGGCTTTATCGTTTCTGCCCCCAGGCCGGATCCACTCGGCGATCGTGTCGGGCGTGAACCTGGAGACGCGCTCGGTGACCGTGGAGTGGTACGAGCGCGGCGAGACCAAGGGCAAGGAGGTGGAGATCGACGCGATCCTCGCGCTCAACCCGGAGCTGGTGGGGGTGCGCCACCACACGGCCCACCTGCAGCCGGTGCCCAACAAACTGGCCAGGGTGAGCGACGAACCAGTACCTGTCTACTGATACCGATACGAATTCGGTCAGTACCGCATCGGGCCGGTTCGAACCGGATCATGGAATTCTTCGATGCTCTACCTGCAACCGGTGTCCAACAAACCGGCCAGGGTGAGCGGTGGGTTCGGTATCTATTGGTACCGATCCTGAACTCATTCGGGACCGGACCGGACCGGTTCGGGCCGGTTAACGGAACTATTCGGTTAGATTTGTACCCGGACGATATCGTACCGCTTCGTCATTCATTGTTGAACACGTTCCATTGAATGTTGCCAGTGTCTGAATTGGATACTGCGAGATTACTTCTGCTGCAGAAATCACTGTTCGATGCTAGTTTCACGGTTTCAAATTTGATCAGGATTTTATAATAAACGATAATTTAGTTGAAAAGTTTCACATTAAAAAATTTCTGATAGGAATCAATACAAGTTGAGACTTAGTGAATTAATTAGTAAACGGAAATATCGTCATTACTGCGCTTATTAAAAGTATGTGGCATACTTAGAGGAAGACATTAATTTCTTCGTCGGATTGCAGTCCCGCGTCGTAAATGTCGCAACACAGGAGATAAGAATGCAGTATAACACCGCTGTGGCTGGTTATTTCAATCCGTGTTTTACGTCATTTGCATAACTCGCGCACTCACTTGCAACATCGCAAACGTCATTTCATTGCATCGGCAAGTTATGATCATCAATACGAAAACTCCTCGATAGATTCACTTTCAGACCTAGCGGCATTTAAGAGTCGATTTAATAACTAAGCTAAGCTAAAGCTCCGTCTTCCTTTGATTGTTAGTGTTGAAGTTTAAATGTAAAATTGATTGCATTAGCTTCCCGTATAAGTTAATTAGTAATGTCATTAAGTTGTTGTTACTTCTTGCAAGATTAACAGCGAACCGCGCGCGCGAATCTCTGGTACGGTCGTTGGTCTATTTCAATCAGGGTCAACGAACACAGCGACGCCCGCGCCTTTCCGCCGCGTAGTAAGACAATTCGCCAATTTACGTTCGGACGTGTGTGCGCGTTTGTCCGTTCGCCCGCCCGCACCGTTATCGGCGCGCCCGATAACGAAACATCGATCGGCAGCCAACAAGCGAGGATAGACTTAGCAGTCATTGCTAACACTCTAGCGATCATTTAGATTTTGTGTACTCGTAATTCTTGACTCCGGTAGGTCAAATATTGCACATTTATCGTACGGGAATCGTAATAGGAAACATTTGGTCCGTGACTTCCGATCGTTCGTTATTTATTTGCAAATTATTTGTGAATGCACTTTTGTTACAATTATGTGTACGAAGTAAATCAGGTTAATTGTAACACATAATTGTATGTGTACGAAGTAAATTGCAACTAGCTCTTGTTCCGTCGATGGTTTAATAATCGAGTTTGTATTACAAAATGCTAATCGCGCCTAATTCAACCGAAAGGCGGTAAAACAATAAATCATACTGCTTGCTAAGTCGTAAATCAGAAACGCAAAATTAATTATAATTAAGCAAATGTATAATTTTTTAAGGTCGTGGAAAATGATTTTTTATTTATTACGTATCAGTTAGCACGTGAACAATGTTATTAGCTTAGTTAATCCGTGGCCGTTGCCACGACAACCGTTATCGCCTCGCAACCTTGCCACCTTTTATCGGCACCCATCGCGTCGGCTTAGTTAGTCGGAGAATTAGCGTTGCAATAAATCCGCGCACTGCACCTTTCCACCGTGGACGTTTAAGGTCACCGCCGCTGACCGGTTTCAACGAAGTTCCGCAGTCGTCGCTGAACTGTTTCCCACAACGGTCTGCTCAGGCTTCGGCACGTGACACCGTCACATCACTACTTCAGTAGCATCGATATCGACGACGTTTCGCACCGCGCGGACTCGGTGCGAATTAGGGGCAGCAGTTGCCTATCGATTTGCGTGGAGGCGTACCACTCGGCGATATCTCTGTTTGTTTGTGCCGGGAAGCACGTTGCCAGTAGACGCCACAGTTGCGCGTCCCGTTCCGCGACAACCTAATGTGTTGTGGCTCAACACTAGCTTCCGTACATATCGAAAATAATCGGTGCGATCAAAGATGGGAACGGGCAACAGATAGTTTTCGTGCACCGCCCTAGCTACGAGGCGCAACGGAAAGATTTGGAAACGCAAGGAGTCGTCACGTGACAGCCCGGCGAGGATGTAGAGATGTTTTCATACGTCATCAGTTGGCAGGTGATCCCCGTTCGTGGCACGTAGTGGCTTCGCGTTAGCGTTCATTCAATCATATTGCACCTTCGCTGTTGCCACGGCGACGCGTCTCACGGCACACTAGGCACGAATTATAGACGTCGACTTATTGATGTAAGCTGTGTGACATACGACAGGTGTGTCCAACCTTTAAGTTGACGGGGCCCCTACTGGTTAAGTATTTAGTCAGGGGACGCAAACGTCACAGTGGGACCCACTTTGACGTTCCCATCGGGTGCAGCGGAGCTTATGTAGGTGGGGGAAGGGTGAAGGTTGGCTAAGTGAGCGTGGCACAGTTGTCTGATGCGCGTCGTTCGTCGCCAAGGAGCCGTCCGGCTCGTCGTCGGACGAGGGCGGGTTCCTGCGCGACGTCGCAGAAGGGGACGGTGGCGTCGACGCGGGCCACACGCTGCCCGTGCGCAACTCACGCTCGGTACGCAACGCACGGGACCGCTCGCTCGATCACTCACCCACTCACGCACAGACTCACTCATTCACTCACTCACTCACTCACTCACTCACTCACTCACTCACTCACTCAACGCTGAGTCGGCGCAACAACTCGCCTTTCGGCTTGCGCTCTTGTCGCGCGCCTGTTATGCGGCGTCGGCGCAACGAGGACGCAATCCAGTATTATTTTACATGTTGCGTAGTGTATTATAGCGTGTAGTTGAAAATTGTGCACTGTTTTGTCTATTGTCTACCGCCTTTGAATGTTGCAACACTTGTAGCTTTATTTTATTTTCGTTTATACACATTTCTTTTATTATTTCTAATAGTAAGTTCTATCGCAAAATTGTTGCATTATTGAAAGAATGATGACGCAACGGCTCTTTGTTTTATATATATATATATCAGCATACTACGCACACGCTAACCTTATCGTCTTTCTCACATAATTGTATGCCCGATTAAAGAAGAGCAACACACTGTTTCTATCTCTTTTCTCTATTAAATAAGTATTCGAATACGAGCTGAATTAAAATGGCTCGGTTTACTCTATCCGAGGTTATAATTAGGCGTCGCCAATGATATCACCCGCTCCATGATTCAACGTCCCACGCCGGTATTGATCCGTCAATGTCGTAACTAACGGAAGCATTGAAGAGAATAAAAACAGCACCGACGTCGTCCGTTGTCATTTTTAATACACTGTAAACCTGATTCTCGAATGTAGTATATGCGCTAACAGCACTCGCATTTACATGAAGAGAATGCCCCGCCATTGTAATTATCGGCGGGCGGCCTTAAATGCGTCTTCGGTCGGTTTAATTGTTCGGGAAAATACAAAAACTGGTTTAAGGCGTCTTTACGGTTGCAACGACTGGAATACTAATAGAAATATATAGTACGATAGTATTGGAATAGACTAATTTCCGTTTTTTCACCATCGATCCCTAGCTTTAACCTAAAGTCTTAAGGGTGACACTTAAGCGGTGGTGAAAACGAGAGTAAGGAACGTTTTCTCGGGTACATGTATGACAAACATCGTCCAGAAAAACATTTAATTCTGATGGGGTTGAGCGAGAAGCAAAACTATAGATAGAAGGATGTATTAATATTGAATTGGACATACTTATATTGACTAGTTTTATTTGTTTATCACTTTATCATTTATGATACAGAAAGATATGGTCATGGATAAAACCTGATAGCCGTCGACCTTGACAGTGGATTAATTTAACTTATTTAGCTTAGAGAAGTAAACTTCCCTTTTTTTACCGAGTAAGGTTAAATCTTTTTTATTTTTTTATTTCGAAATTACCCTTTCGTGGTTTAAATGTTTTTATTACGTTTTATATTACGGATTTACGTTACAGTTCTGAAGTTAATTTTATGTTTACGAGTCCGGAAGGGATTATGTTAATTGTTGAAAGACCCGTTTTCTGAAACACTGATCATCGTAGAAGTTATCTGATCAGCTGCCAAATGGCTTTTCAAATGTTATTTATGTTGCCAAAAGAATGGTTAAACTATCTGAATTGATCACAATGATAAAATTAATCAATTCAAAGAGTTCAACCATCCTTTTGGCAACTCAAATGACATTTTAAAAGCCATTTTCAAATGTCGTTGCGGGTCGGGCAAAGTTGGCGGGGCGCAACCGCTTTATCTTAAACATTTACGCACTTTGATGAACTACACGATTTGCGTTTGAAGGACTGGTTATTTCATATTTATTAATCCATGCTAATATTATAAACGCGAAAGTAAGTCTGTATGTCTCGCTTTCACGCCAAAACTACTGAACCGATTTAAATTAAATTTGGTACACATATAGTCTAGAGCCCGAGAAGGGACATAAGCTATATTTGGTTGGAAAAAAGTTTTGAAAGATATTTATTTAAGAGCTTCAACGCGAGTGAATCCGCGAGCGAAAAGCTAGTTTAATATAAATTAAAATTAATCTTATGGAAAATTTTATGCCCGTCTACCCTGTACCCGTCTACTGTATAGTAGTGGGTATTTCTTTTTAGACCTTCGTTGTCTGACAATACTTAAATATCAGGATGCCTTGTAAGAATGGCTCTTCAGTGCTTAGGCTAGTGGGTTTGATTCTCTTAAAGACACGGTATTTTTGTGACCAGCAGGTATTGGGTCTAGAAGCAGTGTTCGTCAACAATTTATGTTCAACACTACTAAAATAACATATGTTCTTATGCAATAATGAGAGCAATGTTTTAAATGAAAGTAGATTTAAATATTTGTTCGAAGACTATGTACCTCACACAGCTAGTGAGGTCCGAAACGGT